CAAAGATCTCTTTCTAAAGGAAAAAAGGGGGGATAGGGTATACAAATGATAGGATAAAAGGGTAGATTACTGAATCTACTTTTAAACAAACAAAAAAAACCCAACTACTAGCCAAATATTTCATATTAGTATGGATTTTGGTATACTGATACAAATTTAAAGTTAATTTTGTTATACAGTATGTATATTTCTACTCTTGTTTGGGGTACTGGGTTTATGTAACTCATTTAAAAATGTAATGTATAATTAAATACAAATTAATAGTCATCTATAATAGTCAAACTTAGTCATATTAGGTATGTTTTCAAGGTCATATACAGATATATTTAGATAGCTGGTCTTCAAACAATTCAAAGACCTACAGAACATGGCATTTAAAATGTTTTAATCATGACAACAAGACACGTCTGCTCCTGACAGTACCAATCTACTTCAGAAAAGATGACGGACATAGAGAAAACTCCATATGGAGTTTGCCTTCCCTATGGCAAAAGCTAGCCGTGTGGGCAAAGAAACTGCCCTTGCCTCAACTGCTGACAGTTACTGTGCAAACTGGACCAAGACACACACACAAGCGACTGCCAAACTTTGTCAAGACAACGTCGGACAGTCTTTCAAAATTCTCTGCTTCTCAAAAAAGTCTGTCAGATATTCTAGGCCTCTAGGCCAAGGATGAAGGCCCCAACGTTACAGAGGAAACTTAGATGACTGTCCAGACAGCCAGCTGTTTCTATCACTTCTCCCAATTTTTGGAATTTCACTTGCTATGCACTTCCTGCTTACTTGGGTAATATTATATCTTTATGGAGTCTTTGATGGAGTTGAAGACTAGGTAGTCATAAGTAAAGTTTTCCTTAGTTATAATAAAAGGTAAATTAGGTATAAAACTTTAGATTCACAAATATAAGATAAATAATAGAGTATTTTCTCTAATTTTGCCCAACACAAATGGACTGGATATTGTAACTGTAATTCTTACTTGATAACTCTTTTTGTTGTCTATAATTTTACTATGTTAAAGTTAAAACCTTCCTTTTTAATTAGACAAAAAAGGGGGAAATGTGGAATATTCCTTTACACTATGTTAATATATGTCACTACGATTGGTTTAATAAACAAGCTGTTTGGCCAATAGCTGACCAGGATAAGGTTAGGTGGGAGAGCCAAACTGAGAATGCTGGGAGGAAAAAGGGCGGAGTCAGGAGACACCAGCAGACTCAGAGGGAGCAGGATGTGTAGAGAATGAGGTAACAAGCCATGAGCCACGTGGCAAAGCACAGATAAGAAATATGGGCTGATTTAAATGTAAGAGTTAGCTAGTAACAAGCCTGAGCTATGGG